CCATATCGGCGTTCCACCCACAGATAGGTGTTTAAAAGAGGCATTATGGTTAACAGCGATGTCAAGGTTCGAATACAAAGACCGCGACGCGTAATCTCGCTCGAACTGCAGTACTAGACCGTTTCTACAGAAACTAATTAAATTAATAGTAATCCCCACTATGTATAATGCGCTATGTATGTGTGTATGTCACGGTGTTTGTCTGTCACAAAAATCCCTACTTTCTGGAGATTCACCTGGAGAGACCGGGTCAAGTGTGGGATGGGTGGGCCATATCTCGAGAAGTACAAAACATACATCAGCTAAGCGGAGCCCCGCCCACAGTGGGCGTGGCGTGCATCGAATATGAGCGGTACTGATTATAATAATAATAATAGGAATAAAGATCTCAAATTCAGTCAGAGAGCCTCGGAACAGGAGAAAAAAGTAGGTATGGATGTGCGTTTGGAGCGAAGTAGGAGGACCCACCTTCGGTTGGCGGGGCGTTCTCTGAAGAAGAGGTAGTTAATAAAAAAATTTATAACTCGGTTACGAGGAAGAATGTAGAGTGGTGGCTGGTGCCCAGCCTGAAGGATGTGCATGGAGGCCCGGTCGAGCGTGTCGTGAAGTGGGCAGCATTTCCTACGCTCCTCATTTCGTTATAAGATGTCTAGAAGCTGGAAAAAGGTGGATGTAGGTCAAAGAATTAGAGAAGGCTAAACATCGCGAGCGTAGCGTGCGCAAAAGTGGGCGGAGTTTGCTGCGTGTAACTCGGTTCAAAGGTGTCACGGGGGGCGGGAAAAAAGTAGGTTGAGGTTCTAAGGAAGTAAAATCACTGGTATCAGTTGGCGGAACACGCGGGCGCAGTTTATTACCAGCTCAAGAATCGGCTCCGCCGCGGTCTAGATACGGAGGGAAATATGGGGAGAGGTCGCTGAAGGAAAGGTGGCTTCGCTATAGGTGGGTGAGGCGTGCATCGAAATTGTGGAGTCATTCGCGGAACATTATAACTCGGTTTAAAGGCGTCTTGGAGATCGAGAAAAAATGGAAAGAGTCTCACAGCGGAAGGTAAGTGATGTGCGATTGGTGTGTGGAGCGCGCAGTGAGGTGGGCGAAGTTTGCCAGGAAGCGTAGGAAGGAACAAAAGTATGGCTGGCCCTGTTTTACACAGTCCCGTATGATGCACGCGAATGCGTGCGCAGCCAAAATGGTAAATAATAAATAACAATCACAACGAGAAAACCATAGTCATGTCATAACTCGAGATGTAGTGTTAGTGTCAAACACCGGAACAGAAGGAAAAGCTCAGTAACCAGTTTTTTCTGCTAGACCTACACGCAACCTTCCATCGGAAGAGTGTGCAGTACGGTGCTCAAAGGTCATGTAAGCTTTTATATTCGATATTCACCAATTCTCTGTGTTAAGTGGAAAAATTCTCATAATAATTTCCAAAATAAGCTGTAGATATAGGACCGTGAAAGACCTCGTCAGTTGAGACGAACCTATTTTTCACCTTGTACACGCAAGTGTAGAAAGTAGGAGGCGATGTGAACAGATAAAAGGATAAGGATAAAGCATTTGCCATTGACCAGTTCCTTTTGGGGTGCGGCACGCATTCCACCCCATTTGCAATTTTCTAGTGGATTTTGAGCTTGACCTACAGTGGCTTCCGAGGGCCAGCCGATGTACAAGTCATTGTTTTTATGCAAATAACCAACTCCGTAGGAAGGCTAGGTTGGCCCGGACGACGACGCACAACCGGGATTTGATCCTCGGACCTCGCGCGTCATAAGCAGCGCCATTTGCTCACTACAGCACTTCCGCCTGGGAGTGGACCGAAAGTGGGTAAAGAAGGGCACGCCAAAATTCACTTAAATTATGGGTCACTCACTTTTGCCGTTCGTGTGCTATGACACATGAAACCGTGGGGAGAAGATAGATGAGAGAGCGCCACGCATGGAATGGAGCTGACTTCCATTTTTCCAAAGGCGCTCGGAGTTACCTTGCAAAGGCGAGCCTTCTTTGTGCGCACTTTTAGCAGGGAGAGGATTATCGACAGTATCAGTGCACAGCTTTATCATACCCTCTAAAAAATTGCTTCTGATACTGATGCTCTGAACCTATCAGGAGAGTACCTTTAAAATATTCTTGCTTGCGAATGCTCTCGCTTCCATCTGTCCTCAAGATCTAATTTTTGTCCCTCATGCTGCTACGCTCAAAGGAATCCTTTGAAAAAATCGTGATTCTATTTCAGCCATAATTCACTGGCTTGGGACCCATGTTCACGATAAGAATGAAAAGAACAAAAAATTGCATTTGTTTTGGTAAAAAAAATCGAAAAACCGAAAGGGCTGCTACGCGTTCAAAGTACCGCCGGACATCTGTCACAAATGCTGGCGACGGGAATGCTTCCACTTGGTTCTCGGAGTGCCGTCACTAGAAACTCTTTCTGGCCTTTTGACTTATTGCATTCACATCTCACACTTCTACTGCATCCTATCGATCGATTTGTCTCTACTCTCCAAAATCGCGCGCTTTAACCCGATTCTTTCATTGCGTCGCCTGATACGTAGCCAAAGGCCAACTTCTTTCCATGCCTCGCCTTTGGCTCCGCCCGAATTACCTTCGATTGTCCATAGAGTGTAGTTTTTAGTTTGTTTCTCTTCGGAAACCGAATCTTTGTGCGTGAAACTTCCCTGGTGATCACAACTGATATATGCATGTTGGAAAGAATGCAAGATTGTTCCAGGAAAGATTCCTTTAGAACACGCAAAAAACGAACAATAGAAGTCTTTTTCTTTTCTCCTTTGTGGGAAGCGCTAGATGTGATTTTCGTCATTTTTCGCTTTTACATGGAATACCCCACCACATTCAATCAATAAACACAGTCCTTTGTCTATGCATATTCAATTTATAACCAGTTCGCAGAAGGGGAACGTGGCGAGGTGTTGCTCGATCTACACAGAACATAACATTATCAACATTATCTAGGATACAGTGCGGATTGAACTCCATTGCTTCTTTCTGGAAACCCAACTTTCACCAAGAATGAGAGTGCCATCTATCGACTTCAGTGATTCGCGGACGGGGGCGCACGGAACATGCAACGTCGAGGTGAACCAAATTTGACGTGAACAAATGGAAACACTTCTGAGAGCGGGGTCTAGGCTTCCAAACTTCTACATAACGTTTCAAAGAATTAGCACATTAAGTCGAAACCAACAATCCAACTGCACGGCATTTTCTGTTGATGAGAAGAAATGCTAAAAGGAAAAATGGGTGCTGTATCACTCGACCAAAAACACCATTCATGTAGCGAGCCAAAGCTTCTTAAGTTCATGAGACGAAAAAAAAGTTTCTAGAGACATTTGGAGAGTTGATATGAACGAAATGGATATAATTCTAGAACACGAAACGCAAGAATTATTGCTGACCAAGATCAACCGGCAACATCAACACAAAAGCGTTACGCGCTTAAGAGACGAGTGATCCATACCACGTAGAATTCAAAAAATTACACCTATTGCTAAGTAGGCAACCAGAAATCGCCATTGACTACCGTGGCTCAATAGTTGGAGAGCTCAAATGGTAATTCGATTCAAAAGCGATTAGCAATCGCATCAAATCGCTGAAAGGGTGCTACACCGCAATAATGGAAACCCTCATGCTGTTGTGGCATTAAAACAAACACTGATGAAACTGGGACAAAAAATTCCCTAACACCTCGCGTGTTCCCCAAACTTTGTGGCTCTCATTCATTCCTGTCACCTGTTTTTACATGGCACCGTAGGTATGTCTCATATATTTAAACATTTTATGTTATATTTGCTCAGTCAATTGATTTTTATGACGTATTAAGGGGAGGACTAATCAAAAATTAGGCTGAAATTGAAAACGTGTGTTGAGGAAGAATAAAGAGAAGGAATCATTCATTCTATGTTCGAGCGCTAAAACATACTCGGGCGATTACTTTTTCCATTCCAAACTAGAAAAAAAAGTAAGGCATGCTGCACTTTTTGTTGCAATAACAATAACCAGTAATTCAAGACCCTAGTCATCTTATGCAATTCCTACTTAAAGCTCCATGCTCTTGGAAACTACAGGGTGGCGAAAAATTACGTTTGCGTGGTAATTCTCTTCAATTTACACATTAAACGAAGGATTTGCGCGTACTTTTTCTTTTCAACGGTTTATAAGCGAGAACATTTGTTTTCATGTTCTGTCAATGTCTTAGCTGAATCTGTAAGAGAATGAGAACGGACTACCACCACCCGATATGTGAGAAGAAAGATTAAATATAGGGATGACCAAAAGGATTACCTGGGCTTCGAAAAGAGTGCCGAACAATACGAAAGTTTCCGAAAATCTGCTCAAGTGACAGCAAAAATAAATCGCGGAATGGACGTTATCGTATATCAAATGGGCAGTTTCCCACCCTTCAAGCAAAGCAAGATTGGAAGGAAAATATAGGAAGTTGCGGAATGTTGTCAATGTCGATGTTTTTGCGATCTCAGGGCGCCTTGCGGTTTTACAGAAAAAGTAAACGCTTAGGTGCGTTAAAACCCTCAGAATCACTTTCAAACCTTTTTCCCCCTCAGTAACGTCCCGAATGGAAATACACACAAGAAGATTGTTCCCTGGAAATTTGATGATTTTAGGTTGGATCAGTGCTTCGGATAAGCCTCCAAAGTTTTCACTGATAAACGCGCAAAAATCAATTTGAGGGTTTTTCAAAAGGTCCTCAAGAAAGTTCCTGCTCTTCTGAAAGCGGAATCATAGCGATTCTACCTTTCGGGATTGGGCTCGGCTCATGATTGATACAATGATATACCTCATAGATACTAGTATCGGATTTCTGGCAATGGATTCGTGATCTGCTTAAATTTCATATTCGAATCCATTAGACTTCTTTGTTGTGTTTATTGAAGAATCGGAATTTGGCGATTCTGAAAAGACCGTCCAAAATCTAGAATAAATTATGCGTTGAATACTTCATCGCCGACCCGCAGGAGAAACAATTTGAGCGCGGTATCAAAACTGCTAGCTACTTCGAATATTTATTGCGATCATAAATTGTCATGGTTTGTTGTTATAAAAGATTAACCACTTCCAAATACAGTGCGTCTCCTAATTATACAGCCACCTAGAAATTGTTCAAAATCTCGAATTCCACAAAGTTTCTGGAAAAATGTCCAACAGGAAAACTGTGTCAAATTTGGTCGCGAATTCGAAAATCAACACAAAATTCCAGGTTGAAAATGCGAAAAATTTTATCCTAATTTTTCCAGAAAGGGTCGCTTTTCCACGTCTCCAAATGATACAGCCACCCCGTGTTTCTTCGTTGCTTCATTTCATTT